CGCTGCACGTTTACACTTAATATATATATAGTATACAATATAGTATATATAATATACTATATATTTATGTGTCAGTGTGCAGCAGCTAGCGTGTGTTGTGTGTTGCAGATGAGCATTTGGACGGCATTTACAGGAAATTGTCGGCAATAATAGGTGAAAGAGAGTAGAGAAACATTAAGACTTTGGTAGTAAAGAGATTTCGTATTTATTTAGCATTATATTTTATTGAAACGCTCCAAGTGCCTGTGGTCTGCATGAGAAGCGAGCTATCCTTGCCGTAAACAATCTTCCCGAACGTTCTCACGTTTTGCTGACCGATGAAATACTTACTAGTGTTACTCGCGTAACATAAATCGTCAGGCTACACAGACGGCACAGTGAGGCTAAAGGGGGACTTATGTCGGGCTTGACTGGAAGCAACTGGATTTCGAGCAACTGGAAGCGATCGGCAGCGACTAGTTGCGTCCAGTTGTCCACTGTTCGATTCCGAGCAACTAGTGGCGGCCAGTCGCAGGCAGTCGCGTCGCAGTCGACCGACCTAAGCACTCTGCAGTCGCAGTGAATTGCAGCCAGTTGCTTCCAGTCGAGTCGGCTAGCGCACTCGAAAAACACTTGCACAATACGTTGCGTTTGCAAAATATGCAGCGATTTAGTTTTTCCTGTGTTTAGTCCTTGTTTACGGTTGCATGATGGTGCTATATGTGTGCTTCTCGCGAGAGACTATTACCGCGTTCACACGGTAATGGTTTGGCTCGAGCTAAATGGGCTAAATTTGGCTCGAGCTAAATGGGCTCAATTTGGCTCAGGCTAAATTTGGCTTGGGCCGGTTTGAGTCGGAGCGTTCACACGTACGCAAGCGAATACTGTCTGTCGCGAGATGGCGTTATGTACGATTCAGTGTTTACATCCGTTCCGAGTTCAATTATCAATCTTGAAAACATACATCCGGATCAATTTTTATACTGTTTTGGACTTTATTTCGTTGAAGTACACGTTCGACACTCGCGGCATCTACCGCTCTACCGATTTAGCTGGTGCTAAAATTTGGCTCGGGCCTGGTCAGACGTTTTCACCAAATTGGGATGGATCAAATTGGCTCGTGCTAACTCGGCACGGCCCCGAAAAACCGTCCGTGTGAACGCTCGGCTCGAGCCAAATTTGGCGCGGGCCTAATTAGGCTCGGGCTAAAACCGTCCATGTGAACGCTCCTAATACCCTTGACTCACCGAATTCGGTATTGACCAATGCGCATCAATGCGCACTGTAACCGAATGACATAATTCGATTTCATATGTGATACGTTGACACACCGAAAGCCAATACGATTCAGTTCGTTTCTGTACGATTCTGTTACGTACATATACCGAATACGGATCAGAACGGTTCGCGAAAAGGAGATTCCAAATCCTGACGTCATAGCGAGGTGCATTCTGGGTATAAACACCACGTGATTTCATCATGTGACTAATCCCAAACCGAACAGAACCGTGTTCGTGGACACACCGCCAAACAGAACTGAATCGAACCGTAAGCGAACTGCTCAATCCACCTACGTATGTGGACTGAAAATAATGCGCATTGATGCTGTACTTAAAACGATTATTTCGAGTTTTTTTCAGCGTTTTTTAGTGTTTATTCTCACTCTCATGATGCCTACCGTAGTTGCTTGAGTGGAAGCGAATCAATGCGCATCAAAGCGCATTGAAAGTTCCGTGTGTCAACGGTATTATACTTTTAACGCGCCTTATTATGCCCCTCCACTTTGTTCATGGCAAGTTGCGTAAAGTGATAGCGACGCGGTACCAGTCTAGAAACAATCACCGAATGAGATGCACTTTTGTCTGGTGGCACCATTTACAAGGCAGCTGTCTCGACAACGACAAATGTGGCTGCGTTTTTCTGCCACTTTATATGCCATAATATCACAAACTCGTGGTAAATTTTATACTGAAATAGTCAGTAATACGTGCGCTAATAGCTAAGGCCTAATTATAAGTTGTGTTCATGTTTCGAATTTACGATTTTATTTGAGAGATAATAAATTTAACAGCATTAAACCACTAATACGTTATCTACCGTGCGTGCAGTGCCTGATGAATATCCTTACCAGCATATTGCGTAATATATTTTAAATAGCATGCTCATAAAGTATAAGCAGCGGTGCCGTAGTGGTGCCGCCAGTATGCGTGCGGCTGCAGCAGCAATACATATTCTGAAACGCTCTCTACAAAAAA